CCCCCAACCCCCCCCCAACAACCCCCCCCCCCACCAACCCAAAAAACCCCCCAGCCAAGCCCCCCCCCCCCCCCCCCCCCCCCTCCCTCCACCACCGCCCAAGCCACACCCCCGCAGCCCCCCAGTCAAACGTCTCTGCCGCTATGTTCTCCCGTGCCCACCAGGCCTGGCGCATGCACCCCTGGCTCCGCCAGAGTGAGAACCTCAAGCACGTGCTACCGGGCTTCGGCACGGCCGTCGCCATCTTCGGCACGTACACATTCCTCGAGGCGTTTTATGCGCGCGCCTTCGCCGGCAAGCTAGCCCCTTCCGCCGTCACAGAGGCGGCGAAGGACACCGTCGCCGCGTCTTCTCACGAGTGAGGTGTGGCCGTGGGGGTGGCGCGGGGTCGGATTTTGAGGCGATCGGGCACTCGTTCGCGGACGGGTCGCCCGGTGCGGTGGCGTTCATCGTCGCTGAGCAGCGGTGGTGTATTCGAGCGCGACGAGAAGGACAACTACTCGGGTCAGGTTGCCCTTGGGTGTGCCCTTTGCGACCGATCCGGTTTTGTACGGCGGAGTGGAAGGCGAGGGTATGCGCATCAGGACGTATGTCGGTGGATGGAGAGACGTTCTTTCCGATCTGGCATCGAGGCCATAGGGAGACGAGACGGGCGCTCACCCACCCAACCAGCGTCTCATGACTATCCCATCGGCAGCGTGCATCTACGCCTAGTTTGAGGTCGAAAGAGTTGCAACGGTGTCATGTGTGGTATAATAAACAAGTTGTCTGTTGTTTGATTTATAGTTACAATGAGTGCAGTGTATCGTTTAGACCCGAAAAAAAGTGCTACGATACCCTCGATGCCGATGTAAGTATTGGGGATTGCTCCGTCTCCATGGTAGTCATGCGGCTGCCCTCGAGATGATCCGAGGACGGCGAGAGCGGGCCCTCGCTTCGAAAATCGTCGGCCGTGATGGAAGCCCTGCTGAGTTGTGAAAATGACCCAGTGCCAAGGTCTGGTCGTTCGACATCCGGCGCCACCAAGTGCGCGCCCACTACCAGTTCGTCCTTGTCCCGGTTGTAAAGCGCGGCTTCGGCCGAGTGCAACCGCGACCGGCGGATGTGGCGGCGGAAGCCCATCGCTTGCCCGTGACTCTTGAAGGTGCGACCTACGCAGACTTTGCGCTCCATCCCGTACTCCTCTGACGTCGAGACAACAAACAGGCCGAAGTCGACGCGAGCGTCGACTGTGTGCGAGCCGCCAAGCTCCGACTCGCAGCAAAGATAGATAGATATATAATCGTTTTCGTCGAATGTCGGGCGCGGCGGGGCGCGCGAAGTGGACGGCCCTGACGGACTCGACTCGAGCGTGTTGCCGACGTACAAAGGGTCGTGGTCCCTGTCGAGTTGCGTTTGGTGGCGCACGCGCGAAGGCGAGCCGTGCTGCGACGCGGACATGGCGTGGTCTCTGGATGCTCTGGAGGGATCCGCCGAAAAAGGATCGACCCAGAGCGACCACTTGTGGTTCAAAAACGACCTACTCTCCGAGATGAAGCGCCTCCGACACGAACTCCACTTGGGGATGACGACGGTGAAGAGGAGAGAGTAAGCGCTGCGCGGTCGAAACCTCACCGACTTGTACCACCGCAACGGAAACAAGCCCTCGAACAAAACGGTGCGGTTTTGTCGCTTGTTAAACTCGATATTCTGTTGCTGCTGGCGTTCTATTTCCTTTCTCTTTCGGATTTGTTCCTCCTCCTCTTCCTCCCCCTCCTCCTCCTCATCCTCGTCCGGCTTCCCCACGCGCGGCACCATAGTAGCGCCCTCCTCCACTCCCTTCTCCTCCGCCCTCCGGACCGGCGGCGGCCATTCCGTGAGTTTAACTTTGGCTGTGGGCAACAGCTCTGTGTCGGTGACGCCAATTGGGGTGAACTTGAGCTTTTTCACGGGAGCAGACGAAGACGGCGCGGCGGCAACGTTTGCGGCGATCTCTTTGATGCGTGGGGCGTGGACGATGCGAACCTCCGTCCTCCGGATCAAGGCCTCCAGGAGAAGCTGATAAAACTCGTTGTGGCCTCCAAAATACGGGCTGCGGCAGACGCGCAGCAGGACACGGTCGGAGATGGTGGGCAGTCGGACCAGGCGGAGCAAATGCAGGGCATGCTCGGCGCGGGCGTCGACATCAAATGCGAGCCACCTCTCCAGGGCCTGAAAAACGTCGTCCTCGGACTGGACGATCAAGTCATGGATACGCAATACGCGGGCGACCGAGGCCGGACAGACGTTGAGAAACTCGGGGTGCCTGCTGACGACAGCGAAATTGTCCTTGACGACCTTACGACACTTGAGCTGGACGGGGTCCATACTGTACTTGTCGGCCATGCGCCAGTGAAAGAAGACGTTTGCGACGACGACGGTGTGGACGATGCGGGCCTGTATGGCGTCCATGGGGGCGAGGACTGCGTACGCGATGCACAAGCTGAGGGCGTTCCACAGGGCGACGGGCTTCAAATCGGCGACGACATCGGCCCTTCCGTAGACGAACTGCAGCACGGCGTGCAGGGCGTCGTAGTCGGCGTGCGCGAGCGTGAGCACGGGCGCGGCGGGGTCCGCGGCGAGCGAGGCGCGCAAGACGGGGGACACGGCGGCCAGAAGGAAGCGGTGGGCGGAGAGCGTGCGGCCGGGCGTGCGCGCCGGGATGAGCGTGACGTCGCGCAGGTGTGCGACGGCGGGGTCGAGCAGGCGGGGCAGCGTCGCGGCGCGCAGCAGCGGCTCCCGGGCGGGCATGTCGCCTGTCTGGGGTGGGGGGAGGGGGAGGGGAAGAGGACGAGGGTGTGGTGCGGAGGGGAGGAAGAGAGGGGGGGCTGGTGAGGCGCAGGAGACGCGGAGAGAGGGAATATGTGGGTGGGGGGGGGATGGGGGCGCTACGGACGGATTGGGACTCATTGGGTGAGGGCGGGATGTGTGGGGGGGCGCTAAACGGTCGCCTAAGGCGA